GCAAGAGAAAATGATTGAGGCATTCCCCTCGTTGATGCTCCTGAGTTTTGCCTCTTCCTACCTGCCACAGAGTGGAGGGCGCCAGCTCTTGGGGTACGACATTACATATCTATGGTTGGCATTCACTGTGTTCAAAGTCTTCACGGGCATCTACAGCTTCACAAAGGCTGCATATGTACTTATGCATCTAGATCTGGATCGGCACATTGCCGTACATGTGGAGCGTTTGGGATTGCCAAGCGCTCCAAGCACGACGCACTCGGCGGGCATTCCTGCGCAGGTTGGTCCAAACCATCGACACGGACTTCCAGCTGAATCGGTCGGACCTGCAGCCCTTGCAAGCTACCCCGCACTCCCACCAGGAATTGCACCTCCTCCCACCTCCGCACCGGCTTTTGCACCGGGAATTACTCCACAGCCCGCGGCTCTTGCACAGCCATCCACTGCTTCCCAAGGGGGAGGCTTGGAATACCTGGCAGCCCAAGAAGGCCCAAATGCCGCCGTGCCCATGCCATTCCCAGAAAGACCAAATCATCAGACCTCCAGTCTGAGGCTTTCCATGCCTCCACTGCCACCAATCCAGGTTGGAGCAGCAAGGGGTGCTATCGACAGGGAGTGAATAAACTCTTTTGCCAATGACTGCCAGCTTTTAAGTTTCAGGACTGAGGAGTTCTGTAGCTGACCGGTTTCTATATATTTCCATGTGTTAGTTGAACGCGCTGTGCAGGCGCCAATCCAGGTCGTGGCACCATAGGCGCCGTCGACACGGACTTCTAGGCTGTGCAGGCCTGACGACTCCACCCAAGGCGAGAGCGGATAAATCGCGGTTGCTCCATGAAGGCTTGTTCTTGTGCTGTCCAGACACCTGTGACAACCGCAACCTCAACCCGTCAATGGAACACCTTCTACAGTATGCTACAACACAGTCAGCAAGCTGGAGGAAGCAGCAACGCAACGTCGATACTGTAGGGGCCTTGATAGTTACCTACATTAATTATTTTGGGGGGTTCCTTATTA